ATTCGGTAAGCAAAGAAACTGAGACACAGAGAGATGAAGGGGTATTACTCACACAGAGTGACAAAGAGAAAGCCCTGGACCCTGGATCAAGAATGCCCATCCAGATCCTCAAATTTCAAAACCATGTTCTTTCCACTATACTACACTGCTTCTGTAAGTAAGAAGTTTCTGTAAAGAAGCGATTTATAGAAGTCTACCAGTTGAATAAAATGAAAATAAGTCTATGAGAACCAAAATACAACCTTTAGCATATCCCAATTGAATTTCAAAACCATCTTAAGAATAGATTTAATGCACTCAACATGAATGACCAAAGACCAGACAAGTTGTAAAGTGACCTCATCCATGAAGAAAGCAAAAGGCCATTACATGAATAGGGAAGAAAGAAAGAAAAAAAAAAACCAAAACAGATGTCAGAAGAGACTTTGAAACTTCTGTTGGAATGCAAGAAGTGAAAATAAGAGGCTCCTGAGATAAGAGAGCTAGACAGAAAAAACCTCTTGAGAAGATAAGACAAAGTATTATACTAAAATGTACAAGGAGCTGAAAGTAGAAGACCGAAAGGGAAGAACATGCTTGGCATCTCTCAAACGGAAAGAACTAAAGAACAAATTCAAATGAAAGGGTGGAGGGACAGAGAAACAGAGGAAGACCATTGATGACATGGATTGATACAGTGACAGGGGTATATGAGGGTAGATGTGTCAGAGACAGTAAAGTTGGCACAGGATACAGCAGGTTTCAAGATTGTTGTACACAGGATCGCTATGAGTTGCAAGCAACTCAATGGCATATAACTATAACAACAGATGCAATACTGAAGAATTCTATTGGCAAAAATATAGACTCATTCTACTAAAAAGAATTAGTCGACACTGAGCCATTTCAAGAAGTAGCATGTGAAGAAGAATAAATAGAACTGAAGAATTTCAAAATTTACTGAAGGCATTGACAAAAAACAAGACCTCAGGAATAGATGTTATACCAATTGAGATATTTCCAGAATCAGATGCAACCCTGGACGTGCTCACCAGTCTCTGCCAGCAAACATGGAAGACGGTTACTTGATCAACTGGCTGGACAAGATTCATATTTTTCCCCATTCCCCCCCAAAATATTATCCAACAGATTGCAGAAATTATCAAATAATGTCATTAATATCACATGTAAGTAAAATCTTGAGGAAGATTATTTGAAATTGGCTAGAATAGTACATTGTAAAAGAACTCTCGGAATTTCAGGCTGGATTTAGAAGAGACTGTGGCATGAAGGATATTGCTGATGCCAGATGTATTCTAGCTGAAAACAGAGACTATCCAGAAGGATGTCTTTTTGTCTTTCACTGACTATGAAAAGGCATTTAACTGTGTGGATCATTATAAATTATAACTAACATTGAGAAGAATGGAAATCCCAGAACACTTAATTGTATTTATGTGAAACCTGTACCTAGACCAAGAAGCTGATGTCTAAACAGAACAAGAGAGCACTGTGTTGCTGCTGTTGTTATGTACTATCAAGTCAACTATGACTCATAGTGACCCTATGAACAATATAGCCCTAACTTGAGACAGTCTCACTGTCTCTGCCACATCTGTCCCCATTGCCATAATCACTCTGGCAATTCATCTCTTCCAGGGTCTTCCTTTCCTATATGTTTCCATCCAGTCTTCCAAACATGATGTTTTTATCCAAGCATTGGTCCCTCCTAGCTGTCACCAAAAGTATGTGAGACAGAGTTTCAAAATCCTTGCCTCCAAGAGCAACTTGGTTTAATTGTCTCCAGGACAACCCTATTTGTTCTCTTAGCAGTTCACAATTTCTTCACTACTCTTCTCCAGCACCACAACTCAAAGGCATTGATTCTTCTTCTGTCATCCTTAGTCTTTGTCTAACTATCAGATGCATAGCAAATATTTTAAAAGATCATGCATCGGATCAGGCAAATCTTAGTCTCTAGACTGACACCATCATTCCTCTGTACCCTGAAGAGGTCTCTCTGGAGAGAGCAATTTTTCTCAAAGCAACTTGTCTTTTGATTTCCTGACTGATGGTGCTAAAAGAAGTGAACCTGAATGATTTAAACTCAAGAAAGACATACATCGGGGTTGTATCCCTTAATCATACCTATACAATCTGTAGGCTGAGCAAATCATTCCAGAAACAGTCAAGAAATCACTATGAGGTCCAAGGCATGGGGGAGGGTGGAAACAAAGTGGTGGAGATCGGGGTGGGGGTAGCATGGTACTCATGGGGTTGCACAATTCGATGGGTGAGTGAGATAAAGGAAATGGGAAGGATATTTTGTGAAGAACAATGTATTCAAACTTCGTAAATAAATCAGAATAAAATTTATAAGAGAATAAATCAAAAGATGTATTGCACTGGGGAAATCTGTCAAGGATTTCTCCAAAGTTCTAAACAGCAAAGATGTCATTTTAAAGACTAAGGAGTCCCTGATCCAAGGTATGGTCTTTTCATTTGCATCCTGTGCATCTGAAAGTTGGATATTGAATAAGGATGACAGAAGTATAATCAATTCCTTTGAACTGTGGTATTGGTGAAAAGTATTGAATATACCACGAACTACCAAAATAACAAAAAAGTCTATCTTAAAGGAAGTACAGGACCCAGGGTTCCCCTTTGGAGGCAAGAATGGTGAAACTTTGTTTCACTTACTTTGGGCATATTTTCAAGAGAAACTAATCCTTAGAGAAAGCCACCAAACTAAGAAAGGTTAGCAGGTCAACAAAAAGAGACGAAGACCTTCAATGAGATAGACTGACACAATGAGTACCACAATGTCCTTGAACATGGCAGAGATCGTGAGAATGGTGCAAGATAGCCCAAGGTTCACATTTGTTGTTCATAGGGTTGCTATGAGCCATAGTCAACTAGCTGGCACCTAACAATAATAGCAACAGTACCATTAGAGTTCCACGTCAACTCTTGATTTTACATCTGAATCAAGTTTCAGACAGGATTAAAGAAATGTTGTCAATTTCTAGATTACTAGAGCACAGTAAGGCTCTAGTCACGTAATCTATAAGAAGTTACACTGCTAACCCAGAGGCAGCACGTCTCTGGTGGTGAATTCACAGCAGTGCCATCAGAGAAAGATAGGCCTTCTCCTCCTGTGTAATTTATAGTCTCTGAACCCACTGAAGGTCAGCTGTGAGTGAGCACCAGCTTGATGGCAATGACACAGAGAACTGCTGCTATTGTAGATGTGATTTTAAAGTAAGAAATTCTTAAAACCACAAATAATTATTGTCATTGTTGGATGCTGTCTAATCACATCTAACTACATCTCATAGTGACTCCACGTGACAAACTAGAACTATCTTATTGTATTTTCTTGGATACGACCTTTATAGGAGCAAATCCCTGTCTCTGGCAGAGCTCCTCTGCAGATTTGAATCTCTAACCTTTGCTTAGCTGCTGAATTGTTTGCACTGCCAGGGCCCCTTTATATAACCACAAAAATGTATTAAATATTACTTATTGACTTAGGAATTCTGTCTGGTAATTTCTCAGGGACTGCAGAACAAATACAAACATGTATATTGTAGTATTTACAAAAGAGTCGAGCAATTTAAAAGATGAAATACCCTACAATAGAGAGGGAATAGGTCATTCAGGGGAATCGTAATTTGAAAACTTGTTAGAATCCTACTTGGTGGCTATGAAGTCTATGCAATTACAGGAAAGTCACTTTTAGACTTTTATAGTAGTGAAATAATATGAAGACTGAATAATGAAAATTATTTCTATGCTACAGTAATCACCAGCTATGATCTGAAAAGATGAAATTATGAAAAGTGACTGAAAACATCTAAGTAGCTGAAAAAGTTCCTTGGTGAATATTTTCCTCCTTAGTTTGCACTTTTAATATAGGCTTTAATGGTTATTTTTATAATAAAAGATACAGTGATAGATTGAAATGATGCATTTGCTTATACATCTCTAATATTAAAAATGTCTGATAATAACCACCACCATAGATGTAAAAAAACCCCAAGTAAATAGATGGAAAATATGCAGAAGGAGTCAATATTAATGTGGCTTTTACCTTAGTTTATCTAGTTGACTGATAAATCTGGGAAAGCTAATGTCCCTATCAAATCTTGCCTTTATAATCAGTGGCAGAACGAAGCATGAAGCTTCGCCCAAGCTGAGCAATAAACCCAACTTTTCTGGAACATTTCACTGCCATGAATACCTGACATTTTCTGGGCTGGGACCATTCCCAGAACCAGGTGGATTGCTCACTGCCGTTAAGTTGGTTCCAAATCATGATATTCCCGTGTGTTACAAGCGCTGCTGTATAGGGTTTTCTTGACTGTAACCATTCCCGGAGTAGATAATCAGATTTTTTTTTGTTTGAACCGCTTATCTTTAGGCTAGTAGCCTGACATGCTAAACACTATGCCAAGTCTCCTTTGAAAAAGCAGTACAGAGTTGCTATGAGTCAGAATCAACCCAGAAATCCAGTAAATAGGCAATTTTTTTTTCTTCTGGAGGATCTACTGCCTTGGAATAGGTGGGATGGACCTTTAAAGAATATTGGGTGATTAAGCAAAGAGCACGTTGTTGTTGTTGATTACCATTGAGTCGAGCATGACTCATAGCGACCCCATGAAGAAAAAAAGGCCTGAAGCCTTTCTGTAACTATCATTGTTTCTCAAAGTTCAACGAGTTTCCAGAGGCATACTGTTTAGGAAGTGGATGCCACTCCCGCTTCCAACAACAAGAAGCAAAAAGCTTAGGTAACCTTTTATTTATTTATTTTATTATTATTAATTTTAAAGAAAGTTTACAGAAACTTAGGGTTTCCAGTCATTCATTGTTGCACTTTTCACCCTGCCCACCCCTTCCCCCAATTCACTTTTCTCCTTGATAAGTAAAAGAAAAACTCTTTCATTGTAACCTATTTTTAAGTAACCCTTTGACCCCAAAGACAGTGACAGGGAAGAGGAAGATTCTTTTAACACTCTTACCAGCATCTTGCAGCCGTTTTCTTACTATGTTCACGCCTTCGTTCACCACTCTTTCTATGACATCCAGGGACTCTTGGAAAGCTGAGTTGTTCATCATCAGAACACTGATCTCGTAGTTCCCATCTTGACAGTTCTGAATCACCTGGGAGGCCCAGAGCATCAGCCTAGGCTGGAAGAACAGCGGCCACAAAGCCAAGCCCAAAATTGATGCCTTCATGACCTCGCTCACCTCAAAACCATTGTCTTTGTGCTCACTCGCTTTACCCTGGGCTTCCGGGCAGACAGACTCCAGCTGCACGGCCTCTAGCTGGGTTCCTCAGTCTACTCTTCCCCACGTTCCTTTCTGGTATGCCCCACTTGGTCACATGGTCCATGCAATACAACCTGCTTACCAGCGATTAGCAGTTACATTATGGTAAGAGATAAACCAAAGTTCACTTTGTATGTTTGCTCACAGAAAGGCCAGAGCTATAAAACAGAGAGATTACCTGGGCCTCACCCAGTAGAAATACATCAATTTGTGACACATCCTTAAGGGAAAAGAGGAACAAGGTGGTATATTATGTACATAAAAAAGCCTTGTGAAATGGAAAATAAAGGTTGCAGGACCAAAGAAAGCACACATATGACGGACCATTAGTGCTTAGTTTTCAGCAGCAAATTGAAGTGGATCTTTAACAACTAGGAAGAACTTGTGCTTCAGTCCACCCAATCAAGAAATAATTTATTAAATTGACTTGGGGTTGGGCATTGGTAAGACAAGACACATGTGAGCACACATGGAATACAGATTCGAATGGAGAGAGCATCATTAAATGGATAATTATGAAAACTAAGTAACCCAATAATGAAAGAGAGTGAAAAAATCCCCAACTCCAATCTACTGCTGTCCACTTAACTTTCTCAGATCAACCCTACAGGAGAGAGAAGAACTGTCCCATAGGGTCTCCAAGACCATAATCTTCAACTGCCTCATCTTTCTCCAGAGGAATAGCTGGTGGGTACAAACCACCAACTTTTCTGTTAGCAACCAGCTACACTACCAGGTTGCCTCTGAAATAAAATGTTGAGTGCAAGCTCATGAAGGATTGCCATTGTTGCTGTTACCTGATGCCATAGTGTTGTTTTCTACTCTTAACGACCCTCTATTGATTTCCAAAACTGTCACTTTTTGCCAGAATTGACTGCCCATCTTTCTCCAGCCCTGACCGGTGGGTTCCAACCAGCACACCATATTACATACTATGTGGGCAAGTTGGGTTAAATTGAGTTCACCTCATAATTACTGCATCTGACAAAGTAGGTCACAAAGTCTCCTCCAAAGAAAGAATGAGTTCAAATTTCCTGTATTTTTTTCTTTTTTTAACTTTTGGTTATGATTTAGATGAACATTGACAGAACAAATTATTTTTCTATTTATTTCATACACGTTTTGTGATGTTGACTGCAATCTCCACAATATAGCAGCTCTCTTCCCTCTTACATGCCATGATTACTGTTTGTGTTTGCCCTTATTTCCTATCCTTTTCTATCTTCTGAACTTTGTCTCTGGGCAAATGCTGCCCTTTTAATCTCCTAGGGTTGATTGTTCTAAGGAGTGCATGCCTCTCAGGTGTTACTCTTCACCTTATAGACCTGTCTGTCTATTTGGCTCAAAGTTGAGTTCAGTTTCAGACATGAAAGGTGACTAAGGGCCACAGTCTAGTCAAATCTGCCAATCATAAACTAACCAGCAAACCTGGTCTTTTTCTTTCATAATATAAAACTCTCTTTGTCTTTCTTTCTCCTCTGTCTCTTTGTCTCTCTGTTTCTCTCTGTCTACCTCTGTCTCTCTTTCTGTCTCTCTCTCTCTCTCTCTGTCTCTCTCTGTCATATATATATATACATATATACACACACACACACACACACATACAGAGCAAGGAAACACTGCATAGTTAAAAAAAATCAGAAAGGGTGTGCACCAAGGATGTGTTCTATCTCCATATCTTTTCAATCTATATGAGGAGCAGATTATCTGGGAGGCTGGGCTCTATGAGGAGAAGTGTGCCATCAGGGTTGGAGGTAGATTCATCAACAATCTACATTATGCAGTTGATACAACCCTGCTTGCTGAAACTGAGGAGAACCTGAAGTGCTTCCGCAGAGGGACAAAGACTGCTGCCTTCAATAAGGATTGAAGCTCAACATCAAGAAACAAAGTTTCTCACCACTGGGCTGATTAGCAGCATCATGATGGATGGTAAAGAGACTGAGATTGTTGACAGTTTGTTTGCTTGGCTCTACAATCAACACTCTTGGTATTAGCAGCCAGGAAATGAAAAGACGAATTACATTGGGAAAGTCTGCTGTCAGAGACCTCTCCAGGGTACTGAGGAGCAATGATGTCAGTCTGGAGACTAAGGTGTGCCTGATACATGCCATGGTCTTTGCAATTATTTGCTATGCATCAGAGAGCTGGACAATCACTAGGGAGGATAGAAAGAGAGTTGATATCTTTGAGCTTTGGTGCTGGAGAAAAGTATTAAACATACCATGGACTGCTAGGAGAACAAACAAGTTATTCCTGGAGAGGGTGAAGCCAGTCTGCTCCTTGGAGGCAAGGGTTCTGAAGCTCTGTGTGACATACTTTGGACATGTTGCAAGGCGGGGTCCTTCCTTGGAGAAGGATGTCATGATTGGGAATGTGGAGGGATAGCACAGGAGAGGAAGACCTTCGATGAGATGGATTGATTCAGTCACTGGGGTAGTGGGGAAAGGTGTGTCGGAGACAATAAGATTGGCAAGGGATAGAACAGGGATTAGGGCTATGGTACATAGGGTCACCATAAGTCACAATGCATCCAAGTCAAGTACAATGCATAGCTAGCCTGTGAATCCTGCTCTATGCTATACTATCTTCAACATTTCTGCCACACTAAAGCCCACTGCAACAAGAATTTTATTCATTCATCTTGTTGAGGGTCTTCCACTCCTTTGCTGACCCTCCAGTTTTTTGAGCATGATGTTTTTATCCAAGGACTGGTCTTTTCTAAAAACACGCCCAAAGGGTAAAGATAAAGTTTCACCATCCTTCCTTCTAAGAAACATCCTGGCTGCACTCTCTCCAAGACATATGTGCTTGTTCTCTTGGCAGTCCAAAGGACATATAGTGCTCTTCTTCAACACCACAATTTAAAGACATCAGTTCTTTTTCTGGCCTCTTTATTCACTGCTCAACTTTCAGATGAAGAGCAAGTAATTGAAAAGTCCTTGGCTTGTATCAGGCACACCTTAGTCTTTAAACTTGTTTTTCAGCATTTTGAAGAAGTCCCTAACTGTAGACCTGCCCAATGCAGCACGCCTTTTGATTTCCTTGCTGCTAGTACCAATGTAAATGTAGACCTGAGTAAAATTACATAATTGACAATTTGCATCTTTTCTCCATTTATCTTTATGGTGCATATATATATACACACACACACACACATTTATGTTTGTATATTATCTATACCTATATCCATGTCTGTCTGCTATCTATCTTGTTATTGTTATGTACCATCAAGTTGACCCTCATAGCTGACCCTTTAGCAGGTTTTCAGAGGCAGTAAATCACAAGAGGGGAAATTGTCCATCTTTTTCCTGAAAAGTGTGTGCCTTTGGGTTTAAAGTGCAACTCCTTATCACTAAGCCACCAAAACCCACCCCTATCCAGTGTGTGTGTGTATGTGTGTGTGTGTGTGTGTGTGTGTGTGTGTGTGTGCAATTTATAGCCTTCTGAAAACGCACTGGAGTGCTGGAGTGTCAGCTATGAGTTGCTTCTGACTCAATGACAATGTATTTTGAGTTTTATGTATTTATAAACTGACTCATAACTGACCCTCCAATGGGTTTTTGAGAGGCTGTAAATCACACAAAAGAGATTGTCCATCTTTCTCCCATGGAGCTTCTGGAAGATTTGAACCTCCAGAGAGATACCGCCTTTGGGTTAATGCCCATGGATTGTGCCTCCAGAGCGTGCAAACACTCTCCCTTCTATCTTTTCTCTATCTCTCTCTCTCTGTAATTTTGAATTTTATTCTACATTTCTCTCCCACTCTATCAGATGCCTTTTTATTGAACTTCTACCCTTTTAATTAGAGCTGAGTACTAAGCCATTGTACCATCATAATAACCTATTCTAAAGTCAAAGACTCTTCCTTTAGAAAAAGTCTATAAGCTAGCTGTACCCTGAAGGATGCACAGCAGTTAGCTGAGAAGAAACAGATGGAGGGCATGTCAGGCAGAGGGGACATCTGAGCAAAGTTCTAAAAATGAGAAAGGTGCATCTGAGGACTGGAAGATTCAGCATGGTTGGAGCGGGAGGTGAGTAAAGAGAGCTAAGAGTTGACCATCAACAGAGACAGAGGAGTAGAAAGGGGAAGACCATGGAGTTTCTTGTCAGCCATTAAGGATTCGGGACATTATTCTCAGAATTAAGAAAGGAACATGATCAAATGAAATTTGTAAGGACCCCTCGGAATTCTGTGAGAAAAGTATCTCAAGAAACACGGTAATGAGTGCAGAGAGATTGTTATGACCTGCTTCTGTGGTCCAAATTAGAGTTAACGGAGGCCTTAGTTGCTTATGTGTTTGCTTTAAATTTGGTCTGGAAATTACAGGTATGAAAGAAAGACATTCCCAGGAGTGATGTAATGGAGAAATTGCTCAGTGTTTTTCATTTAGACATGAAGTTGTAGTTCTGGGAATCCTCTGATTATAACAAATAAACAGAAAGATTTTCTTATGTGAATGACCAATGTAACATTCCATCCTTGTTTCTTTAAAACACAAATTGTAAAAAGACAAACAAAAAAAAAACAAGCCCAAAAACAAGAAAAAGTACAAATTCTGTGTCTTATTTATGTTGCAAAATTATAAAGGTGTAGATAATAATAAATGGGAGTCAGGTTCTGCTGGGAAATCTTCACGGGTCAGAAGCAAATAACAGAAAACTACACAGGCTGCTTTGAAAGAAATAGTTTTAAATATAATACAGGATCTTCTAGAGAGTTGTAAGAAATAACTTGTGGTGTAGTGGTAAGAAGCTGCACAGAAATCTCAAAGGCACACAGTTCAAAACCACCAGTTACTCTGTGGGAGAAGATGGCTGGGTAATCTCTTCCCATGTGATTTACTGCTTCTGAAAACCCACTGGAGGGTCAGCTATGAGCCAGTTCCAATGTAATGTTACTTAAC